AGCAGGAAGGCCACACTCTCTGCACATGCACTCTGGGGTGACCACAATCTCACGGTGGCCCCTTGGGCAGCAGCGAGGGAGCTGATGAACCCCAGCCTTAGCAGGAGCTCGTAGTTTGGGCTCAGTAACTGTGTACACTGTTGTCTTTTCCTGCCACAAACACGGTGCTGCCTGCCAAGGCGCCCTCCTAGCTGCAAACTCCTTTTCTGTGAGTGCTGAGGCAGTGACCCTAAGACCTGTTTTTACTCCCTCTCTAAAGGGATCCATCTGCCAAGACTGCCTTGTGAGCCACACGTGATGGTAAACCCCCATTACTTGGCCATAGCATGGCCCTGCTCAGACCCCTCGTGTCCCATCACTGCCTGTCTCTGATGCTGGGAAGGCAGCTTTGGCAGAACTTCATGCTTGCTAGGCCTGCTAGCAAGTGCTGGTCTCCATAGAGCAACAAGCTGCCATTTCCTGCTAATTCTGTGTCCACCAAATGGCACGACTTCCTGAGGTCCCATCACCTACAAATGGGGATGAAATGTAGCTTGCCACATCTTCAACTTCTGGTAATGATGCATGGAAACAGAGAAAACCAGCTCAATGCAGAGACTGGGTGGAATTTGCAGTAAGGTTATCACATGGAGAATTCAATTCAGAAAAAACACCGAACACTGACTCCAAAGGAGGAACTTCTGAGAGCAACTGAATTAGCAAACACTGCAAAAAAAAAGCCACCCCAAGAGCTGCAGGTGGATTAATTCCTAGAACCACTGCCACTGCATCCCGAGAAAAACTCTGCTCATTAATGACCCTTCAAAAGATAATACTAAAACACGTACCACTCCCATATAGCAAACATGGGATATTTGTGCCCAATGACATTTGAGACTGGAAAATCACATTACAAAGAGGTAGCACATCCATAGTGTTGGCTTGACAAGCTGAGCTTTGATAGAAGCCTGCGCTTCACCATTTTAGGTGTGTGTTGCAATGGGTAGTTGGAAAAAAATATTTTATGCAAAACAGGTACATTAAGAATGAGTTCTGTAATTGTATCTAGGCAAACTCAGTGCTCATTCTTGAAAGCCTGATTATATATGTTATCTTCCAACCAGTATATGCTGCTTTTTAAAACACTTTTCATCAATCCCTTGCTTGGCATTTTGTCTTTCCTTCAGTATGTTTTAAAAGAAATGTTAAAGTTTTTCAAAAGGTGCAAAATTGACAGGTTTATGTTTTGTTATCTTTTTGCCTTTAGCACAAACATGGGCAGTGGTATCTCCCCAAGTCATAGAATCATATAATCATAGAATGTTAGGGGTTGGAAGGGACCTCTAGAGATCACCTAGACCAATTCCCCTGCCAGAGCAGGACCACCTAGGGCAGGTCACACAGAAACGCACCCAGGCAGGTTTTGGAAGTCTCGAGAGGAAACTCCACAATCTCTCTGGGCAGCCTGTTCCAGTGCTCTGCCACCCACACAGTAAAGAAGTTTCCTCTTGTTGAGGTGGAACTTCCTACGTTCTAGCTTTTACTGTTCCTTGTCCTATCACTGGGCACCACCAAAAAGAGACTGGCCCCTTCCTCTTGACACCCACCCCTCAGAT